TACCAACCTACCTTGTATAAAGATTTCGTTGGTTGGTAGGGTTATAATCCCTAAGTGCGGCCGAAGGCCGCCTACGCAGAAAGCTGTTCTCTGAAAAAGGTGGTGGTCAGGCCCCCTTCTTCGGCCACACAGAGAGGAGAATTCTACTGCCGCCGCCTACGCAAAAAACTGTTCTTTGCAAAATGTGTTCAGCCTCTCTTCTTCGGGGTCCTATTCTACCCACCTGCTGGATAGTATTTTACTAAAAAATACGAAAACATAGAAACAGAACAGTTGTGTTCCCTCATAACAATGCCAGCCCACACACATCTTTGATGACTCTGAACATCTTGACGGAACATGGTTGAGAAGTTTTAATGCATCCACCGTATAGCCCGCATCTTGTACCGTCTGACTTTTATTTGTTTTGGTCTCTGCAAAACTCACGTGATTTAAAAAAAATAAGCCACAGAACTTCAACACCGATGGAATTATGAAGCTACCCGAAAAATGGCAGGAGGTCTTAGATAATATTGGCAAATATGCACTTGGTAAATTTTTTTTTTTAATTTACCCAAAAATTGCCCAATATTGCCTTAATACATATAACCTTCTGAAACCCGTACGTGTAATAAGAAATGCGCACTCATTTCACAATAAAGAAGTTTACAATACAGAATTTTAACGACCAGAAGTTGTAATACAGCATATTGTACAATAAAAATTGTGTACCCAGCCCATTCGGTAACCTATGTTACCACCCAGTTATGTAAATAAGTTAAGTTTCGATAATTGTTGTTGGTGTCAGACAGGGATTAAACGCATTTAAGATAACACAAGGCAACACACTTAATTTCTGTGCCTTCCTTCCGCTTTTCGTTTGTTTTTGATAAGTAAACTAAACGTGTGAAATCACAGATTTATTTCGATTTGTGTGATGTCTGAAAGATAAAGGTCCCAAAATTGGCAAGAATCGTTGCGTTCATTTAGTGGAACATAGTTACATTTTCAATTGCAAATTTCGTTTTTTTATGCTTGCCCAAATCTAAATGATCGATGATAATTTGTTGAGGCTCTCAAAATCTGAATAAACAATTGGGGTATTCACTACGGTGTCGTAAGTGTCGTATTGTTGTATGTCGTAAACTTTAAACGCATAAAAATATATTAAAGGGGTTCGCAAAGTACCATCAAAGTCATATTATGCATTTTCGCAGTGTTGAAAAATAGCTGGTTGTGGCTTCAAGTTCTCTAAACATTTATTTTAGCTTTTAAAGTTTACGGCATACAACAACACCACTCCGAGACCGTTGTGAATCCCTAAATTGTCTCACAAATATTACGACCCTTTCGACGGAATGGCCCATGTCGTCACTATCAATGCAAAAGGTCTTATTTTACAATTTTGATTTTAAAAAAGGAAGAACCAAACAACTTTTTAAGTCATCATGGAAAGTGTTTGAAGAGCTAAAGATGCCAATATGTAATAAAAAAACGCATTTCTCAAAGAGTGTTATGGCATTTTGCATTGATGGTGATATATGTATTTAATCATATTTTCCAGCAATAACACAGTGCAACAAGATTCTCTGTATTTGATGAAACCTAAAGTAAAGAAAAAAATATATATGAAAGCTCACACCTCATATAACCAAATCCCAAAAGGATTTTTAGCAGTGTTGCCGTTTTGATACACATGTATCCAATTGGATACATTTTCGCCTTAAATTTTGAGGGATACGTCGTTTTTTTCCTCAGTGTAAATTTGGATACCTTTTCCCATAAGTATGCGTATTTTGAAAGAAATTTTTTTATTTATGTACGAGCTTATAACATTTTTAACAGTTGGCTGTTCATCCTCCAAGCAAGAAATTTTCCTTTATTCTTTTCACTTTGACAAATCAATTTTTTAGCTATACATATACGTGCATTTAATAACACCAAGTAGTCTGCAAATTTTATAAAGTTTTCCGACCTGTAGTAGTTAACTGTAATGCGAAAAAATCAACTTTTACATCCCGAGCAACCCTTCTCTTAGCATTCAAAGGAAATTGATAACCATGCCGATGACTAATTTTTAAAAATAACTAGACTGAACTAAAAATAACTTGTAACTTCTAAATTTTCAGTTATACATATATCGTTAACCATAATAGCAGGAAATAACAATTTATTGAACTAAATGTAACAGGTCAAAATCTGTTTAAATTAGTATTATTTTGATAGACCATGAAACATTTTTTGCATGTATGATTTGTGGGAATATAATCGTAGTAACATCGCAACATCGCAAAAAATATAGAAAAAAGGGTTTTTTCTTAACAGCGGTCGTGCGTCGGCAGGCAATAGCAAACTTACGAGTGTACTTCTGAACAGCTTCTCATAAAAATACAATCGCCTTTCGGAGTCGGCGTAAAACTGTAGGTCCCTCCGCTTTGTGTGACAATATCAAGGCGCACGGCACAAGTCGGAGGAGAAGCTCGGCCAAACACTAACATATGTGTAAGCGCCAATCTATATATATATATATAATCGTAGTAATAAACATCGAACATGCGGAAATTTTGGCCCGTAGTTATGTCAAAATTAAGTCGACATTAAACTTAGTTGCAGCTTTTTTGACAGGTATCTCATTGAAAATTATGTCAAAAAGCTGCAATTAACTTTATGAGCCGACTTAATTTTGATTATAACTACGGGTCTTTGTTTCCAAATCCGTGTCTTAGGATGGGAATAAGTTTGTTAAGGGGCCGACTTTTCTATGTAAAAATGTCCGCTCTTTTCGGTGGATACATTTAGATACAGTTTTCGATTTTTTATAGATACTTTAAAGGCTAAGGTAGTGGCAACTCTGTTTGTTAGCCTATAGATCTGGTTTAGTTTTTATGCGTATTTAAGGTTGGTGACCCTGCATACAGGAAAAAATTTGTAAAATTCTGTTTTTTGGGTCGAGGAATTCATTTTTGATGTTTGTTATTAACTAAAACTTACGCTAGGTAGCGCTGTGGTAAAATGTTTGCTATCTCTTATGGGCTTACATCGAAAAATAGTATTTTTACTGTTTTTAGGATTTATTTATGGCTTTTCCTTGTAAAAATTATGCATTATGATGTTAAAAAGCTCAGTTCATTATATTTGTTGAAAAATAAAGCATTATCGTGATAAAAAGTGTTTATGTGAAATGTTTTATGAGAAAAAATAAAATTTTTATTGGGAAAAAGACTTTCTTAATTAAAAAATAATATTTTCTCTGAAAAACAAATAGGCTTTTATTTATCTTACAGACATTCCAAAATATTGCTCATACCTTTCTTTCGTACTGTTGCGTGTATCTAGGATAGCCAGATATTTTAGTGACATAACCAGTACAGTTGGCATCAAAAATCAATACAAAGCCATAAATATCTGCTTATTTTTAAGCGTTTTTTCGTTTAGTAACAATATAACAACCAAATAACAGCGCATTAATTTAACATAAAAATACCTAAAAGACGGTTAAATACATTTAGTATATCGGTGTAACAGTTCATTAATTTAATAGTAAAACAAAGCAAAGGTATTACGTGTGTATGTACAGTTGTGTTCACAAAAATATTAGTAAAATGTATTGATAAGTTTTGGAATTTTTTTCTTTCCTGACTTAATTTATTTTTTTTTATAAAAATATAGTTAATTCTATGACAAAAACCATGTAAGTTGAAGTTTAAAATTTTCTGGAAAATTTATAAAAATTTAAAATTCAGTTACAGTAGAAGAACTCAAGTAAGAATTTATTTGATTAAGCTACAAATTTAAAACAAATTTAGTTGGTGTGCTTATTAAATACAACATTCACAATAAATTGTTGACCAAAAGGTATAATACCGAACTTTCGATGAACGAATTTTCGAGTATGAATGAAATTGAATAGTTTTAAATGTGGTTGTGCAAATAAAACTACAGGTGGTCGAACATCGAAAATCAAAGTAAAGCTTCAGTATCATATCGAAGAGTCTTTTATTTGCACCTTTTCCAAGTTTTTAGAACTTACATACATACATTACACGGCCGTGCACTGAAAAACTGGCACTCTGTTCCAGGTGCTTCACGATTTTTTCAGGTTTTTACAGGAAGTCAGTCCCGGTCGCCACCTTATTAATTAATTTATTATTTATTATTAATGGCGAAAATAGCTTTTCCTGTAAATCCTGTAAAACCTGCATATCGTGAATTACCTTGTCGCAAATTTTTTAAACAGTTATTCATTCTTAATTTAATTTATTTCACAATATATAAAAACACAGTGTTTAGATTTTTTGCTGCTGTCATTAATACCGCGTGTTAACAAAAGTAAAAGTAATACGTATAGTATTAAATAGGCCAGGATGAAAAAATACAGTTCTAGTTTTTTCTTTTTTTTTCATAATTTTTTAGCAATTTTTTTTAAGTAGGTACTTCCATACCATAATTTTTCTAAGTGTAAATAAAAACCGATTTTCTAATAGAAAATAATATTTTTTAATTAAGAAAAAATTGTTATGAAATGTTATTTTTTTACATTTCACATAAACACTTTTTATCACGATAATGCTATCTTTTTTAACAAAAGAAAAACTGATGATATTTGTCACATCATCTAGATAAACTTTAATCATGAAACTGGCATAAATGATGGATTACTCAGCCTAAAAAACAGTAAAAATACTATTTTTCGGCAAAAACACATAAAAATAGCAAAAATTGTACCACTGCGCCACCTAGCGTAAGTTTTAGGTAAAAATCATCAAAAATGAATTAATAGATTCAAAAAACAGAAACATACTATAACTTTCCCGAAGAATTTCATTATTTGATCGAATTTTACAAAATTATACAGGGTCACCAACTTTAAATACGCATAAAAAATAAACCAGATCTGTGGCTAAAACCCTTTTGGAATTTCGCTATGGGAGGTGTAAGCTTTCATTTCTTTTTGGTTTTATCAAATACAGAGACATGAACCTAAATTCTGTATGACAGTGTAATATTTCTTTTTTCTTTAGACTTACAGCGCGCAGTAGAATTGAATCCGAAGCTTGTGCCGCACGTGCTTCAATTTATTGATTGGCATTTTCGATCTTTTTTTCGCGTTTCCACAGTGAACGGTGAAGTTGAGGATTTCTGTGTGTTGTTTGAGAAAGTAGTATGCTGTGCCACAGAAAATGCCTATGAAATACAGATACAAGATAATCTTGGACTTCTGATACAGTTTATTAGCCATTGTTTGTCTCAATTTCAGCAATTCGATGTTGAATATGATGTAGGGGAAATGCAAAGATTATTACATTTGGCTGTGAAGAAGGTCATAAATAAAGACCTCCAATTCGAAGAAAAGGTAATGGAAAGGATTTTTTTACTATTTCTGTAGTTTGAGAAATTTTAAATATCTTAACTTTTCAGAATGACAACTGGAATCCATTAAAAATCGCCTTGCTGGAGCAACAAATGAACTTTTTGGAGGGTTTAATGTCATATTCATTGCTTACATCACAACAAAATAATGACAACGTGAAAGATATTTTACCTTTATTTAAAGCTCACTGCAAGCTCAGCGAGGTCCACAAGGTATATATATTGAACATATTTCTCATTTATTAAAAGACTAAAAGGGGGATTTTGCACTAGGCGCGTTAAAGTATGATACATACAGTTGTCCACAAAATAATAGGAGTGCGATATTTTGACCAGTTTTGGCTGTTTGTCTCTGTTGATTTACAGCCCGATTCTGTGCACTTGATAAATTGAAAATCTTTATTATTTATCCAGAATTGGTATCCTAGAACAGAAATCAAAAGCTCTTTTCTTGATTGAAAATGCTATTGACAAATTGTTCATGTGAAATGTTCAAAAGTTCATGTGAAATGTATATATTTTCAGCCCGATTCTGTGCACTTGATAAATTGAAAATCTTTATAATTTGTCAATTTTTTATTATTTATCAAGAATTGGTATTCTAGCACAGATATCAAAAGCTCTTTTCTTGATAAATTATCAAGATTGAAAATGCTATTGAGAAATTGAAATTTCATGTGAAATGTATAAATTTTGTATATTAATAAATTTGTTTCTAACAATTAAGTACTCCATGTGCCGGGATTTGAACCTGCGACACACGGAATTATAGTCGACATCTCTACCTACTCGGCTACAGCAGTCAAAACCTTTTTTGCTTTGAAATTCATATTTTTCATATGTGACAGTGAAATCAGTTCCACTCATGTGGAAATCAGTTCCACTAACATGGAAATCGTAGAGCTTTTCTTTTTATAAACATTGACACAGAATGCGAAGGAAGCTTTTACTTGATAAAAATCTTGATGAATGTTCTTCACAAAAAGCTTATCAAGAAAACACAGAATTGGGCGGTTAATGTTTATTATCTTTTTTTTATAAAAGTCTAGCTGGCTATACAACAAACACTATATAAATTCAGATTTTAAACTTTGTACAAAAATTATAAAAATTTCGCATATTTTTACCCAAATCAAACTTTTTAATCAGAATCAGGATTTTTTAGCATCTTGAAACTTGCATTTTATTATACTAGAGTTAAATGGGCCACTAAACTGCATACCAAAATTGTTTCTAAAGACTGATTAAAAAGTTTGAAATTTGGGCGAAAATTTGCGATATTTTTTATAATACACAAAGTTTGAAATCTGAATTTATATGGTGTTTGTTGTATGACCAGCTAGACTTTTATAAAAATATAATAACCAGTAAATAAAATAAAGACAAATAACTAAAACTGGTCAAAACATCGCATTCCTATTATTTTGTAGACCACTGTACATTAACGTGGACCGAGAATCCGCGTTTTTAGAACTTTGATTGGCAATAGCAAAAATATAGTCATTATGCTTAAAAAAAATCTGTGTGAAATTTGAGAATTTTTTAGTCAATATCCTAGGCTCCCCAAGCTCATCAAAGTTCAGTATGCTCAAAAAATAAAAATTTATAAATAAATTAATTAATACATTTTTTTTACTAAAATTGCAATAATCTTCGAAAGTATTAGTCCTACATAATTTGGCATATGGACCTTTTTGTAGAGAATCGAAGTTAGCTAAGAAACCAATTTTTTTAGTACTTGAACTTTGATGGACTTGGGCAAGCCTAGGATATTGACCAAAAATTTTTACATTTCCCACATATTTTTTTAGAGCATAATGAACCATATTTTTGCTATTACCAATCAAAACTCTATCAAGATATTGCAAAACCGCGTATGTGAGGTTGCATAAATTATTTTCTAGAGAGTAAGAACTCTCATATTTCAAAATGGTTCTCTTTTTTATAAAGCAACCGCATTTCTGGCTAGTATATTTCGGGACGAATGGATAAGGATTGAGCCAAGAGCTTGTGTGAGATCCAATTTTTGGCAGCAAATGTCAGTTACGCGGTTTTGAAGAATGTACTTTAAACGACGATATGTAAATAACTGAGAGCTGCCTACATGTATTTACTTTGTATAGTATAGTAAATTAATTGGCATAACAAGGAACATTAAAGAGAGTGAACTGAAACACAATAGGGGGGTTCACTATGCAAACACTGCTATAAGGGTAATATGTATGCATACTAGGCTAAACTAAACTAAACTAAATCGGTCCATAAATATAAATTTTCTGAATATCTAGACTCCAGCGCCACATGGCGGGTTAGTGTTTTTGCAAAATTTATTCTTATCGTAACAGTAATGTTCGTTTAAAGTTTGAAGAAAAGAGGTTCATAAATACGGAGTTTAAAATATCTGGACCCCAGCGCCACCTAGCGAGCTATTTGGAAATTACGTTGACGAAATCGTTTCAACCTAAGAAAAAAATGTTTTCCAAGCTAATTTTGGGTCGCTGAACACGAAAACAATACCCATTCTTTTTTTTTGAAAGAAGCGTTTTCGAGTTTTTTCGAAAAACGTGTTTTTTCGGTACCTCTGGCAGTTATTTCTCAATATCTTTCGAAAAAATCATTTAATCGACACAAGCAGCCTACCATTCAAAAGGTATTGATGTTACCTTTGCAAAAATATATAACTTGCAGATTTAACTAAAAATTATGATTGTTACTAGCGACCAAAATCGAAAAAAGTTGAATTTTCAGTCATTTTTGAAAATTACACATTTTGAGTATGCAGTTTTGTAGGAACTGTGATTAAAAAGTAATTACAAAAAAAAGGTGTGTATGTAACAATTTTTTTCCGGATTTCGCGGAACTTTTTTCGGGACTATTAGGGAACTGTGGAACTCTTTATTTCTTTTAAGTTGGTCGTATCAGAACTGTTTTTGCTAAATAAAGACTTGCGCGTGAAGTTAGCAAGCGGTTTTTGTTTTTTAGCTTTTTGGGTTAAATTAACAAAACTATTGAAAATTTGGTTAGGGAACTGTAGAACTATTGCCTTGCTGTCAGCAACTCTGATTAAAAGGTAATAAAAAAATATATATAAATTTAGTGCAAATTTTTTTTTTTCAAAATTTCGCGCAGTTTTTTTTTGGGACTATTAGAGAACTGCAGAACTCTTTATTTCTCGTAAGTTGATGGTATCAAAACTGTTTTTGCTGAAAAAAGGCTTGCTGCGTGAAGTTAGCAAGCGATTTTTGTTTGATTTTGTTTCTTTGGCTTTAACTAACAGAACTATCAGGATGGAATTCCAAAATTTTAAAATGTGCATAATAGACTGCAAAAGTAGTGCCAAAAAGGAGATAAAAGTGCCTCAAAATTGAAATTGCTTTCTTTTAAGGCTTTTTAAGAACCACATATGGGTGTTTCCATCGGAAGGTCTACCGCGACAAAAAATAAAGAATAAAAGTCATATATCTAACGTATTTATGGCCCAAATTGTCTGCTTTTTTAAATTATTACTGGCTATGTAGGTAGAAAAATGTTTGCGTAAAATGGTTTGCTTGGTGGAGCAATATTTCGACAAACCATATTTACGGTCCGATTTGGTTCGTATTCGGCGTATGTAGTTGAAACATAACAATTCATAGATTTCCAAAAACTGTACCCTGAATTGGCCCTGAAGCCAAAATATAAACTGCATTCGACATAAATTGCATGTTTTATTTGCGTAGAAAATCATTTAAAATCAATATTAACAAAAATATAACGATGGAAATTTATGTCACGTGACGCCACGTCACGTGTCGTTTCACACTGGGGGCTGTAAAAGAAAATTTAAACAAGTTGCATGAATTAAAAAAAAACTTTAAAAACAGAAAAAATCAACTTCCATTTTCGTCACGTACCGACACTCTCTTTAATTGCTTATATTTAAGGACCATGCGGTTCGATTATTTTCATTTTTCGGTTAAATATAGAGCTAATCATGCGCATACATCCTTGTTTGTAGTGACGTATGGAAATACCCATATGTATTTTTAGAAATAGTATTTTTAATGTACGCCCGGGCAACTACTTTTTTGTGGTTGCTGTGGAGGTTTTTGGCGTATTTAGGAGCGAAAATTTAAAAGTAAGTGAAATATATTAGTTTTTAATAGTTTAAACGTTATTAACATTTTCCAATGTATTTTGCTTTCATAGAATATCGTGAAAATAACCACAAAACAACAATTTGATATTTTAGTTCTCGTGGTGAACGTGTTTTTGGTGAATCAAAAGCGAACTGATTGTGGTTAATCCACCCCAAATGTTGCCAAAATTTCATTTTACCGAAATTTAGTTTAAAAAAATGAGGGGCAGTTTTCTCAAGTAGGTTTTAAAATTTATCTGAAAGCAATATTTTATTTATTTTATCTGAAAGCAATGAGGTACAGGAAGTATGAGTAAGTATTTTGAAAACTTTAAAATTCATTTATGCAGCGCTCTCATAAATAATGTCTACATATTGTATTATTAATTGTTTATTTTTTTATATTATATATTATAGTCATATGCAAGTTTCTCCAGAAAACAGTTACAAAATAAGAATAGGAATGATAAAGAGAATGGAGCTACGTTGAAAAACATAACTGTTAATGGGGTGGTTGTAAAGAATTTCAGTAAAAATAACGTGGAAAATATATGGGACTTGTCCGTCGTGGATAAATTGCTACGCGTTTTACATGAGTAAGTTAAGCATCAAAGATATCGTTGCATACTTTTATTATTGAAAGGAATTAAATTTATAGAGACATCGTGCCATTTGCCTCTAATCGGAACACTGTAGCCCTGCGCTCAAGTGTGGAACTGGTCCGTTATGTGTCAGAAGTAGTGTCGCAAAAAGTGGGAGCTCTGCGTAATGAACCTGAATATAAACAATTGGCTCATAGTAGGCGCACGTTAAAGTGTCTTACAGATATAACAAAAGTGGTGTATGAGCGCTGCATACTTCGCTTACTAGAGTTGTGGGCTAACTTTGATGAGTATTCGGCTGCTTTAGGTGCTGAGTGCTTTCAGCAATGTCTGCAAACTGCAAACACAATTTATAAGAAAAAATTTGTTGATGTATTCCTGAAGGGATTCGGTAAGTTTTTGTTTTTTTGTTTTATTCAAACCCAAAACAGTGTGCGTGTTCCCACTAGCCTAGTTATCTGGTTAAACATTTTTTTTTATAGAGCAATGCCGGCCACACAAATATTGGCTGCGTTTCTTAATTCATTCCAGATAATCCCATTTCACAGCTAGAATAAGCAGAATGCGTTTGAAATATACGTTAACATATCATCAGGAACATTTTAAAGAATAAGTAAACAAAAAAGTTTTTCCAAACGTTCAGAATGAATAAAGAAATGCAGCCACTAAAGCATCTACATAAGGGTGCGTGTCAAGCGTGAGAGAAGTAAAACCATAAATTCCATGTGTTTTCATACGCAAAAACTAGCAAGAAACCAGCTAAAGAGAGAGAATTGAGAGAGCAAAAATTACAACTTAACTTGCAAGTTTTACTGGATTTTTACTAGTAACTATTTGCATGGCATGATGCTTAATACAATTCACATTACCAAAAGAATTGTTTGTGGTACTTTTAGAGTTGCAATTGACAAAATAAACCTATTTAAATATATAATAACATGGGAAATATTTTTTTTTAGAAAATTGCATCGCAAAATAACAAATTAATCAGCTGCAACTTCTTGCTGGTTTTGCGTACTTCCTTGCATATTTCTCTCATTGGGAGTAAATATTGGCCGAAATTTGGTTACTGGCAAGTTACTGGATTTTTTTTGCTGGAGAATACGAAAACACAACTATTGTTAGCGTTGGTGTAAAAACACGAAGGCAAAACTGCACATTGTGGACGTTTTGGCCGGCATTGTTGTAGAGTATGGGTGCATTCCAAAACGTCAAAATTAAGGCATAGTACCGGGATCGGAATCCTGAATCTCGGGTATCGCGGCCCTTTTTTGAGTCCCGATATCCCGGGATCAAGCCCTCGGGATCCCGGGATATAATTTAATTTACGACCAAATTAAAATAAAACGAAATTCAGACCCTGTAATGGCATAAAAGAATTATAAAATGCAACCCTACAAATAATAAAATAATATATGTGACACGTAAAGTTAGAAGGGACCTACGTTCAGAAAAAATCGCTTTTTACTTTTTCATCAACTCTTATAGTAAACGGGCCACTCTTTCCAATGCAATAAACCGCAGCTTTCTAGCTGCATTAGTTTTTTCACAATTTCACTTCAAAGTTAGGTACTTTCACAAAAAAAAAGTATAAAAAAATCAAATCTGACAAACTATTCTGAAATTAATTAAATTCGCTTGAAACTCGTTACTCGGGGGTTTTCGAACATCGGATTCGTAATCACTGACCTCGTTTTCGGTGTCAACGACATTTTGAGTTTCACATGAATCCGAACAAATTAAAAATTTTTTCTGCCATATTGGATCCGCCATTTTGAATTTTTAAAAACGAACATCGTACATTCGTAATCAGCGACACCAAAAACCCCCGGATAACGAGTTTCAAGCGATTCCGATCAATTTTTAAAAAAGTCATCCGCCATATTGGATCCGCCATTGCGAATTTTGGAAAACTAACATCGGATTCGTAATCGGCGACCCCGAGAACCCCCAAGTAACGACTTTCAATCCATTAAAACGTCCAGAAGCATCAAAATCAACTTGGTAAACTTCAAAGTCGTTTTTCTCGAAATCTTTTTTTTTCTGAGCGGAGGTCCTCTTTAATAACTTTATGTGTCACATGTTACAATTCTAACACTACTATTATTCTATGTTATAATATATATAACATATACATATATGAGGCATTCTTTTTCATATCACATTTTTCCTTTTTTTCTTCGAATATATGTTCTGTCAAATTTTGAATTTTTTCGTGATTCTGACTAAATAATCATGTACTTCTTCAAATTGTTACACCTCGGCTTCTGTTCATTGTTGGCTCTCACAAAATAAATCACCTCGTCATAAAAAAAAAAATATTTTAAAAATATGTGGATTTTTTTGAGCTCAGTGCCGAGTTGAAATAAAACAATCTGTTTTTGTTGTTTTTAAATCGTCTATATTTCGACTTCAGTTGAAGTCATCATCAGGATTGCAATAAATATCTTAATTACAAAAATTGCATAAAAGACTATCAACATAGGCTGCACACATAGCTTTGCATATGTTCGTACAAGGTATAATGTTCCATAACGCCGAACTACACCATATTGACAATGTATACTTCTCCAAAACGCATATGAAAAGTTATCCGAAAACTACCTTTACATGGTAAGCAGGGGTGTTTTTATCCCTATTTAAAACATAGTATGCTCAGCTAGACTTAATGAGATAAAGTTATACAGTTATAGGTGGGCGGTGATACGTCCATTTTCCAAAACTCCATAATAATCTTATTTCTTGTTAAGAGTTGGTTTGTTTTCAACGTCTTTAACAGGAACAACCATTGCGCAAAGGTTAGGAGAANCAGTTATAGGTGGGCGGTGATACGTCCATTTTCCAAAACTCCATAATAATCTTATTTCTTGTTAAGAGTTTGTTGTGTTTTCAACGTCTTTAACAGGAACAACCATTGCGCAAAGGTTAGGAGAAATTCATGAAGCGGTTACCGAGATATACACAAGTAATCATAAAGGGCCGGGCCACGACCATTTTCTAAAAATTTATAATATTCTTATTTTCCGCCCAAATATCATTGCCAATATCATACGACAAAGTAAGTGCGAAATTTAAATCGTCTATATCTTAAAAAAAACTCTTTGAAACCTGAAATATTGAATGGCAGCCGGATTCTGAGCTACATATATTTAAATTTTCAAGTCTATAGTTTATCGGATAGTCGCCTTAAAATCGATTGCAAAATTTCTACTGAAATCTGGATAAACAAGAAAGCGCGTTAATGTAAACGTGCTCCCGAACTGGTCACCAACTAGTCCTAATCAGGCTCCAAACCAGGGATGTTGCGAATGTGGAATTTTAGACATCCGCGGATGCGAATGCGGATGCGAATATCTAACAGCTCACATCCGCGGATGCGAATGCGAATGCGGATGTCAAGTGTTTTTAAGAAACAATTAGAATCTAGCATAATGGCGAGATCGTTGTTTAAACAGGGCGTATAAGCCAAACCAGATGTCTGGATTTTCTAAAGTTTTTTAAATAGAATTCTTCATTCTAATTCCTTTGGCTGTTTCAGAATTTGGGGAATCTGTAACTTCATCAGCGTTTTTCGATTTTAGTTTTTGTAATTAATTTTGTATACTTTCTTCTGCGGCTGGTTTGAACAATTTGTGCTTATAGCGAACTAAATAGGTGGATATGAAAAATAAATTATTATTTTCCAGGATTAACAATTTTGAACGAAATTCTGTTTTCAAGGTCGTGGCTGTCAGCCAAATCGGACCAAAATATGGTTATTTTTTTAAAAAGCACCCCGTTTTTTTTAAGCATTCGAATGTCAGATAATTACGTAATTCTTATCTTATTAAAGGTCAGACCTATAATTTTTTAATTATTTGAGCTTCGATTTTTTTTATAGCCAGACGTTGATCATTTCTGCTGGAAATCCCAATTGAAGGAGCTTACTCTTTGACTTTAAATAGCAAAGAAGGAACACTTTTACCACAAAAGTTTTTAGCCAAGGATCCAATGCATATAACGAAAAAAATATTGTCCGACAAGTAAACAAAATTACTGTGCTTTAAATTTTTGCTGAAAAAAATTCCCCAAAGAGCCCCATTTGAATTATTGAAACAAATATATGTAGCATCAAAAGCATATCCCGAAATTTTGGTTAAGAATTACAGTGCGCACTTTCTTCTTTTGTGTCTAAATAGTAGTTTTTTTTTAAGATTGGTCCAAAAAAATATAATAAAGAAATAAACCAATGCAGGCATTTAAAGAAGAGAAAACAAAAAAATATTGTCTAAAAGACTATGTTCTCTTTGACGTACGTCAAAGGTAAAGTAGAAGTTGGAACTTGTATGACTGCCCATTGATTGCTCGGTTATATAGCTTAAGAAATAATATCTTTAAAGACATTTTTATCAAAGTTGATAAATATGACATTTGACCAGTTTTGTTACACAAATACTCCCACGACCCCAATGTGTCATTTTTTTGCCATATAAACGTTTTATCGGTGCACTTGCACAACATTCGCATTCTCAAAAGCTCCGCATTGATTATTGCGAATGCGAATGTTAAAATTAATGCGGAAGCTCCGCGGTTGCGAATGCGAATGCGAATATTCGCAACAACCCTGCTCCAAACTACCCCGAACTGGTCCCCAACCAACTACCACCGTCATGGTCCGTTCTTTAAGACTTAAAAAATATTTTCGTACTCATAATTATTATGAAAAGACTTTCATAATATAAGTCCCAAAATAAAAGTCTTTGAAGACTTAAAAAATATTTTCGTACTCATAATTATTATGAAAGACTTTTATAATATAAGTCTCAAAATAAACGTCTATGAAGACTTAAAAATATTTATCTCAACCATAATTCTTATGAAAAGACTTATAAGTCATTGAATAATAATTATAGATGACTCGAAAAACTGGTATCTTATTATAATAATTATTGCTCAACTTTTATTCTTTTCTCTTATAGTAGTTATGTCTCTGGTTTATTCAGTTTGTTTAGCTTTTTAAACTGATATAAAATAAAGACATTTATATTTCTTTGCTTAAAAATTTATTTATTTTTATTTCTATGTAGTATTCGCACTAAAGCAAACCTCAAAACTAGTTAGCATATTTTAATTACTGGTAATAATATCCCGAAACATCACGGGATCCCGGGATTACCAGTTTAAGATCCCGAAATCCCGGGATTCATAAAATGGTCCGGGACTGGATGCCTTAGTCAAAATCCGTCTCTGTTATTTCTAAACCGCACTAGAAGCAAAAGTCTAACTTGCGCAGCCTAGTTGAAAACTAGCATCTAACTGTCAGATTTAACGTTAAAGGGACTGTTGCTTTGTATTTTGGCCTATTGGAATGCACCCTATTTTATTGTTATAAACTGAATATAAAAACAAGTA